TAGAGAACAGAGGTGTTAGCTGGTTGACAAGTACTTCGCTCCCGAACCTGAAAAGCTCTGAAAGAAGTCCGCCTGCGCCGGCAGACTTGAATCGCTTCAATTGTCGGAGCTCAAGGCAGACCTCAGCTTCCGTGGGTGGTTTCAATGAGACGTTTCAAGGCGCGCAACTAGGTATACTCATCAGTCCCGCCGGCGGAGGAGGCTAGCTGAATTGAGTGCGGAAGTGTTCTGCCCAACGGTCCATACGCCTGTTGCTTATCGGCGTTCCAGCAATCTCGCAAATGACCTCACTGACACCAGGTCTTTTGTGACCAGTGACCCGAATGACACGGAAGAGCTTGAGAAAGTTTTTAGAGGGTTGCCGTTTCAATCTCTGAGGAGTGCTGGAACCACCAAGTTTTGCGAACAGCATGTGGCCTTTGCTTAAGTTGTTGGCTGATGGTGCGATGCAATGCACTGCTATTTGAATTGGTCGGGATAGTACAACGATAAAACAATTCCAGTAAGTGTGCGGAAATCCAGCCCCTCAGACGGCGCCTTATGATTCCGCAGATTGAATGAGTGGAAGTTAGCATCGCTTCACGTAGGTAACTGCAATGATTTTCGATGTCTCGAAGTGAAGCACTAATGAATGCACGTGATAAGGAAGCATGATAAGCTGATCGAGTAGCGTGATCAGCTAACCTGTTGGTGTCGAGCGTATGCAGCTTACGTTTTGAGGAGCCGCCGAAGCGCATGCAGATGTCCGCGCAAACCAAAGCATGATATGAATCGAGGTACGTAAACCAAATCGATATACAACCCCGGACGCTGCCTTGTCATCTAAAGCTGATTGTGATGTGATTTATTTGTGACCACGCTTGTGTTGGTGAAGGGGGACACCAGGTGGCTGCAAGTCTTCTGGTATGCCTGAAGTTTGTACTTGAGAGAAAGAAACGGTGGTCTTGGCATAACGTAAGAAGTCTATCACTGTTGTCAGAACGACTTATCAAACGCGTGACTGCCACTAAGATGACGTTCGCACGGAAGTAAGCGACCTACTCGTGCATTAAGATCTCTGGCAAGGACGATGACATCTGACTTCTCGGTCTTGTTCAAATGGTTTTGGAGTCCACGATAAAAGTCATCCTTAGCTGATGCACAGCTTCAGTCGGTTGGAGTGCAGGCAATAACGACAAACAAATTGCGCCTCTCTTCACAATATCTGTTGATTCTACATGGGCTTTGAAGCCGAACCGCACAAATCCAGCTGTCGACTGGAAACCAGTCGAGTAATTCAGCCTCCGTTTTGTCACTCAATGCTATACCGACATCAGCTGAGCCGGATGCTGCTGCCTCCATGTCACCAGACAGACGTAGGTAATATGTGGTATCAAGAGCAGCTGGGAACGACAACTGAACCACGGTGCTAGGATCCTGCAGTCGAGTCTCTGAAAGACAACAAACATCGATGGTTGGGAACTCTAGAGTGCGGGCCAGGCCAGCCTGTTGTCCAATCTGTAGGAGGGTCCGAACATCGAATGCTGCCAGGCGGAATGAAGTACGGGATCGAAGGATAGATAATGGCCGGACGATTTGGATATCAGCGAGACGAACATTGGAAGTAGATTCAACAAGTCGTGAATTATTAACAAAAGTTGGCGAATGATGCAGAAGCACGAGTAGCAGGGAAAGTAGCAGCAGGAGTGAGCGACGTAGTAGTACTTGCGAAATCTACGGTTTTCTATAGCAATGGAGCATCTGGCTTCCGTAGTTGGCGAGTGCCCATTCGTTTGCAGTATCGTCGCGTACGTCCGCCGGATCGCACACTCAGATGAGCAGATACAAGTGCATGATCGGAGTCCGCATTGGTCCTCCAAATCGAGTGGTTATTTGGAACGCATCTACCCCCAACGGCAGCTGATCGATATGTGATCAATTCGCACCCATGGCTGGTGGGCATTATGTCACTCTTCGTCGGGTGCTGTGTCGGAAGCCGGTGCTCACGAGAAATAGTCGGGCTTGTGCACACAGGTCTAGCAACCGCTCACCGTTATCGTTACAGAAGTCTAAACCGTGTTGGCCGCCCAGATGAAGCTCATCTGTGAACTACTTCCTAACTTGAGTGTTTAGACTAGCAGCCAGCCATACAGTACGCGTACTTATGTGACGATGAAGGTCGTTCACTTTACGATAGAAATCGTCTCTCACTGAGCCAGAGTTGCACTTTGTGTGGTCGTAAACAGAAATGGCAAAACCGCATCAAATGTTTAGGCGCAAGTTCGACGTTTTGAATGATCCAGCCAATCTGACGGCGCGAATGCGGCCGCTGATTGTGAACCAGTTGATTAGAGCAGTTGAAGTCCGAGGGCTCATGGCAATACGCACAAAGATTAGACTGACGAGAGACGTATTTCCTTTGAACTACTCAATGAGACAAACGGTTAGGGTACCGATAAGGGAAGTATCATATCCAACCTCGCTATTCCCGGAGTGTTTGAAGGAGACTTATACATTACGCTCTATTCTTAGCGTACTGTAGTATAGTGTTATGAAAATTGGCTCATGGAAGTTGTGTCGGAGATACATTGGAGATCGATAAAGCCTGTGTGATCAGCTGATCAGAAAAGGTGGGCGTTACATCGAGCAAACACACTAATCAATGGCTACGAAGGGAATGGCGGTTCAGTATCATCTACCAAACAACTACGCGTGCGATCGTGATCAGATTTATGTATCTCGCCAGAGCAGTACAGCTGAGAAAATTTTAGGGATTGATGAGGAATACAACATCAATAGCGAGGAAACACCCGGTGGTAATCTGTCTACTACCACGAACATCCAGAAGCTTGCGTGGGAATCGGTAATTAGTTAAGAGGTGCATAGGAAACACGTGATAAAAAGAGACAGCAGTGGCTAATTAATTAGGATATTTATGTGGATGTATGATATGTTCGCCAAGGAACAGTGGTTTTGCATGCATTTAGCTACGTTAGCGCCGACGTTGGATATAAGGCAGCGCAAGGTTATGCCGAGTGGAAGTAGGTGAAAGTAACAAATGCCGCAATTGAAGAAAGTGAATTAGCCCAAATAATTGAGTATTCTGGTGGTCTCTGGAGCATGTAGGATGAAGTTATTAAAGGGGCATAATAATGCTCCAGGTGTGTGGTTCGTGACGTGAGTAGGAGATCAATCCTCCATCGTCGCGCATATCATGCCATGGGGAAACGACACAGATGAAGCAAAGGAGTGAATGGAGAGGACTTGGTAGTCAACTGGTCGCAGTCTGTCTAGAGAGGCACGTCATAAGTAAGGAACTAGTGTGAAAGTCTGCGAACTAAGTATTATGTGAGAGGGTTCACAATAACGGCAATGTCAGTCAGACTCCGGTGGCTTGACTACGTGTTATGCTGATCATCGTAGCGTCTTCAGAGTTGTACACCAAGTCGTGCTACGAGAAGGAGAGAATGGATTAATGTGAAACCGTTCTCAAAGAAGTGGATGCGATCGAATTAACCACTCCAACATTCTATCCTCTGGACTCGGTAGAATGCTTATGAGTATTACGACGATGTCTGACGTAGGATCGTTCGAGATAAACTGCGAAAGGTGCACGAATGACCATAGACCGTTCACCAGTCCTGAAGTAGAAATTGCAACATGTGACGGTCTGACAAGTGAAGGTAAGCGTAAGCTAGACACTCCTGCAGTAGTCAAACACGGCCACCAGAAAAGCGCTACGCTTCAGTACGCACTTGGTACCTTCAACGTGGGAGGCACTATGGTTGACCTGAGGTGACATACTGTTTGCCTTCGCCATCACCGAGGAGCTGCTAGAAGGGGTCGGTTAGTTCGACGATCCAAATGACTATCACCAAAAGGTTGCTGTGCGTATCAGTAAGGCCCGGGTAATATTCCAAAGGACGACGCAAATTCCGAACATCAGTTAGTAGTAAGATATGTGGCGTCAGAGTGGCAACCAGCACCGTGTGGATCCGAGTCCTAGCCACCGCTTATCGAATGCATGACCAGTCTAGAATCAACAGTGTAGACGGGGCAACAATTAATAGTTGGTATGGTGTCGAACAACTAAAGTATGTTTACCGGGTTTTGCAGCCAACCGTACAGTGTCGTGGTGATATTGCAATGCTTACGTTGGATAGTTCACATTCTTCGCATGGATAACAAAAGGCACCGTCAGTGTGCATCGTCTTGTATTAATGCACTTAGATGGGCACAGCCTTGTGGCCAATCAATCACATGGCAAACAGGCACGAAAGAACTGATGGAAAGCAATGCTCAGACTCATGTGAGCTCTCTTCCTAGATGATAGTTTACGCTGCAGCCACCTAATTCGTCACTCTATCCGATGTCGATCGATCTGGAGTTAGTAAGTCTCAGGTATGCAGCTTTCCATTTATTGTAGCTGGCTCTGCTTGAGACTTTGATCGCGTTACTGCGCGTGTCATGACAGACTGAGGTGCCGCGGGTTAAAGAGGTGGTATGAAAGCGGGGTAAAGCAGGACAACCTGGTTTCAGATGAGCGGCATCATGAGGTAAGCAACATCGATACGACCGATAGAAGTATGGTGCCGTAATACGTACTGTGGTCAAAGAACTTTCTAAACCACGTAAAGCACTGCAACATAACATGTAAGCATTAAAAGCATCAATATCATACAGCGAAACATAAGTAAAGTAGGACGTCACCCTGGTGCATCACTGCCATGCCCATAGTCGAAGCAAATGCATTCGCAAGACAAGACAAAAACAAGTGACAGTCGTGTGCACAAAAAGAGAATGAAGCAGATGCGGTAGAAAATGACTGTGAAAGAGACGGGGGATAGCAACAAATCAGGATGGAAGATTGCGGACTAATGCTATAATGTGTATTTAAAAAACAGGCAATTCAAGACTACGTCCAGCTAAGTTACATAAGATACGAGCGACTAGATGTGATTGATTCAGATATCATACCAGGCGATGAATACTATTCGCCAGTGCAAACGATCGTGACAAACCTGGAAATACACAAGATCACTTCATTGTTAGGCCAGTGGCAAAAAACAAATTCCATAACCCCTTTGGCATCAGTGAACACTATGACAAACCGCTCCCCCACTCGACAGCCGGAAGGGGTAGATGCGACCGTCCCACGTTTAAAGACAGAAGAAACATTTGGCATGGAACAGCAGGAAAATCCGAATTCCAAAATTCGTGAGGCGTAAATTTCCGGATCCACCGCAGGGAAAATTCGACGTGCGACATAAGCTGGGAGAAGATAAGAACAAAATGAGTTAATAATAGTGAACTAAAGAGATAGTATGTTTGAGATATTAAACGCAAGTCAATGCAATGACAAACTAGAATCAGTGCGTGGAAAATCGGCGGATAAATTCCTCTGGCTCATGCTGTCATACAATGATTAGTGAAGACGGGGGAATGACCAAAGGGAGAAAAGAACCCATTCAAAGGCAACAGACAACAAGTAGCATCACAGATGAGTTACGAAGTAGAAGTAATGGATCAGACGCAAGAAAGCCGCTAAATTCGTGACCATGTGGTATTCCACTGAGTTGGGTGACATCGAGGGCCCCATTCAGGACAACATGCATCAAGTCCAAACAACCGCTCTATTAAAGTGAATCTTTGCAGTCATCTAATTAGGTACAATGGGTTTCGCCAAATAAGTCGTAGCGGTGACAATCTATATCGAGGCATTAGAAAAAAAGTTTGACGGACATGAGCAAACAAATGAAAGCGAACTGAGCTCAAAGAAAGCAAAACACTGCAGATAATGTGGATTATTATTGTACATTAGGTGCAAACATCTGGATTGGAAAGAATATTGAAAGCAATGGCGAGCATAGAGAACCGGATACCTAATGCAATGAGTGCGAATGGGCCATTTCTTTTGCCCACAAGTTCACGCAAATCACAAAGTAACCTTCAAATCCAATGCCGCAAAGAAAGTGGCTCGTGATGAACATCACAGGTGAAGTAGGCATCTAAGAGATGTGACATACTAACCGAAGCGCGTGGTGTCCTCATTAGTGAAACGGATAAGCAGATCCAATCAAGAGCAGGTTTTAATACGTTGTAGCATTGTACGAAAACATCAAATGCATTGACCTTCAAATCTGATCACACCCAAAAGATTAGCGATGCCTATCCATCAACTCCTAGTTGTAGTACCAGCACTTCACGTGTTATTAGCTCGACAAGCACCAGACGTCTCAGAGTTGGAGAGAAAAACCCTTGCCCACGGGTCTTCAAGCGCAACCCCGGTTGTTGAAGTGAAAACTCGTCGGGGACTCACCGATTATGGTCCTTGGTGCATAAGTTATAATGATGGAAAAAATTGCATGAACAACGCTGTTTCTTCCGATATTGCATGTAAGCAGCCCCTGAGAGATCACCGTAAGTTCGCAAATGAGGAAGCACGTCACCTTGTTTTTCTCTTTCAATGCGACTGACCATGGTCGCAGCTGTATCGAAAAGGATGCATAACTACTCCCAGTTGTGAATCACTGAAGTTTGCAGATGGCCGACAAAAACGCATCGCAATGGGACATCGCTAGCACACTCGTAAGCCTGACTAGGCTCCTATCACCTTAAGCATCACACAAATGAGTTAAACATTGGGGAATGGATACTCCCACCATAGCCAGCCGCAGGAATAGGCGCCCGGAGACTACCGTATGTCCACAGTATCCCTACACAATTAATCTTTTTGCCTCATTGTTTCCATTAATATTCATCAAAATAACAAAAATAAATGAACCGTCAGCTGTACACCGTAGTGGCGCTTCGCTGCGCGCAGCCACCACCAGTCGCGCGCGGGCTAAGTATGCTGTGAGGACGGCCGCTCCTATGCGGATTCGAACCGGTCACCATATGTTGGTAAGCCAGGCGTGCAGATCACTAGGCGGACATTCATATTCATCAACAACAGACCACTTTTGGATTCGCCAAGCACACTAACAAGAGGCCTGATCGGTTATCCCCATGGGGTGTTTCAAGGTGCCCACACACTGCCAGATCGAGTTCCGGATGACATCTGCCACGATGTCACTTCTCCAAAACATATACATAAGATGGTAACGTCCTAATACATCGGGGAAGAACAGACTCGGGTTTCGATGACAGTGCTTACAGTTTTCGCGTGCCTGGCGCTATCGAGTCGGTGGTTCGCAGAATGTGCTGTTTAAGAGTTGATCCAAGCAAACGTGCAAACACTGCTCATGGAGAATGTCAGTGATCAGCGACAAGTGTGCGCTTCGGCTCCAGAGTGCAACCTGCGTTAATTTGCAGCGGCTGAAGGCAATATTTATCTATTGCTTTAGTGCGTATCCTCATCGATTTTAGCCGAGAGGTCGTAAAACAAGATTATGAGAAGTCTTTCTTAATTGCAATGGCCGGAAGTGCCAGTGGCAGTTGTTACGGAAATAAATGCTAAACTGGGCGGATGACAGGAGCGAAAATATGAGGGTGAATACGGGAAGTATGTTGGTAGTATCGACGACGATAGACGTTTTCTTTAGATGTACTCAAATAAGAACTTGATATGAGTTTCACGGCCTTCCATCAGCATATGCACCCAGCCACTTGACCTCAATTGAATGAGAATTTCTTGTGAACTCCGACTGACCACATTGCCACCGGCTATAAATATCGAGCGCCAGCTTAAAATTGCAAGGCAGCCTGAACACTGGAATTTATAATGACCATGAACCCCTGCATGCCTGAGTAATGTGCACTTCCCAAATTCCGCTAAGATCGTGCTTACGAGATGCTTGCATATTAAGTCTATTTACAAAAAACAAAATCGCAATATCCTCCTAGACCGCCGTGTCTGCTGTCACGGATAAACGACGTGTATAAACCAAAGGCGCATTTCGTCCGCCTCTGATACACCATGCAAATGCACTGGAGAATGATTTTCCATCCAGTCTGGTTGTCCGAATAGTGGATGCATTTCAATAGTTTTTATTGAAGCATAGCAAGTGGTTCCATTGGAAAGTTTCAACTTGTCTGCAACAATTCGGAACGACCGCTGACAAAAAAGCTCGGAATTGACGATGGGAGTAAGTGCATGATTATGACTTGGAAGATGGAAGAACTCAGTGCCGGTGGGAATGTTCGAGTGCCGCTGAAGCCCAAGTGATACCCAGATCTCAGAAGGGCTCATCCCGGTGAGAGAAGGACTAAGGAAGACGGATAACTGATACGCCATCAATCACGACAACAGTTCAATCGGCCGGTGGTATATGAGCTGTTAGCTGCTTACCAGGAAACTACCTGGAGGTGGATGAGGTGGATGGACTAGGGAAGATGCAATGGAATAAAACACCGGGTCACGACAAATTATCACCACCGCTGAAAAAAACAACGGGGACCCCGCAGTAACTGACACGGTTTGGGTGTTTTGTAGCAAGGTAGGTGGAATAAATGTACCCTGAAAAGTATTGTTCCTATCAAAAAGCGGTCAAAGAACGGATCATGGGAGGACTCGTAGAACTAACCTAGTGTTTATCACCTTCAGTCTACCTAAATTTATGTGAACTGTTGTTAGGCCACAGATCCGAAAGAGATTTGTGTCAAAATGACTCATCCTGGCATCCGAACTTGAAAAAGCTGCATTGTGAAAGACAATAAACGTTCGGTTTACTACCATTAAGCTGATATCCCATCGCCCTCTCACACCGCTCCGAGGTTGGATTTCTCAAAATGCGGACTGAACTCATCGGCGATTTCGCCTCCGGGGATGAGAAATCGTTGTGGATGCACGAACATCTCGACCAGAGTAACAGTAAGAATGCGTGACTTACCAGATCAGCGCAGTGAAACCCTACGATCTGTAGGTGTTGGAACAAATGCAGAAACATTCGGTGTCCCGAGGTAGCCTTTTGAAACTGTTTGCGCAGTGGCTGGATGTAATTCCAAAAAGCTATTTCGTCACGCCCCCTACTCCAATCAGTCCGTCACCTGAGGAAACTTATTTTCTAGAATAGATGGACAGGTCTCGGGTATTCCAAGCATTCCTGTCCAAAAGTTGAAAAGGAATGGTGTAACAAAGTAATGTTGAAGCACGTCGCTTAATGAGATTTGGAGGTGTTCCCCCTAGACTCCTGACCGTTGTTGTGGACCCACTGCAGTTATGGGCAATTACGGTTGTATATAGATGCAACTAACATGGTTAAAGCCAAGGAATACTACTAAGGCAGGTCGTGCGTGTGAGAACCAGGCCCCTGAAACCGCACTGATGATGTTGCCTAGTCAGGCAACGAAACGTCTGCACCATAATCACTCAGCTCGGAGAACCTCTGAAAATCCGCACCATTCAAACAGTCAGTAAATGGAAAAAATCTAAACAACACCTTACTGGAACCGGCCATCTTGATTCTCATTCTCTCCATGTTATCGGTGGACGGCCAATTACCAGAGCTTTTTGCAAATGAGTAGCTCGGGAACGATGGCAAGCTCCATAACTTATCCACTTTCGCAAGACATCATGTAATACATACACAAAAGGAGACAATTGAAAACCTGTCATCCGAAAACCTCTCCCACCTAGCAGTACATCAGCTGTGCACAACAGATTTTTAAACATTTCTGACGTCCACTGCTTATTCTGACGAATCAGTTTGTGCCCAATTCTTACATCATGACGCATTGAAAATGGTCCCAAACATGTTCGGTTCGGATCACCAGTTACTTGATTGTGAATTTATGTGGCAGGCAGATGAAATAGAAGTTGGATCACTGTGCTGCCGTCCACTGAGTACTGAAGCGACGTTTGGGTTGGCGCAGGAAGACGGTCGACAAGATTACATTCACGTTCACCGTCTGTAATTGACGTATTTCCTAGCGACTTTGGTCGGTGGTAGTATCATGTGGTGGGCGTAAACTGACCCGATTCAACCGTATGCATTACAGGGCTATATGTGGAGTGCAGTCGAAATCATTGGTACAATGCACATCGGCTCCAATACGTGATACCTAGTCATGGTTTGAGTTCGTACCATCTGGCCAAGGATGCGTTACGATGCCACTGTGTAGGATGGGTGGCCGAGACAGCACACACAGACTCGAACGTAGTGTAAAGTCAATCCTGGCAGTAGCTATTGACTGATCTGATGCGGAGGAAATATGTCGAAAGATCCTATGTGAAATGATGCCGTAGAGCTGTAGGACGGTCAAGAATGTATCCTTTCTAGTCATCAGGGTAAAGGGAAGACCGGCACAAAACGAAAGACGGTCGGAGGTAA